ACGTGTGCCAAAGGTTTGCCACCGCTGGTCTACACACACAATTTATTAATTAAAACCAGTACTACACAGAAGATTATTTTCCAAGAAAGTAAGATTTGTTCTCATTTATATGCTTTTCTTTTTATATAACTCAGGAGAAAAGACGGACCAAAAGTCCCATTTCATTGTAAACTGTTAAATTAGCGCTAAAAAGCCTATACCCATTTGTGAGTTCTATGACTAAGTAATAACTCTTACCTTTATGTAAATTCTGTAAGAATACAGCTATATTTTTGGTGGGATGCTATTTTCTTTTCTTCTATCTTTTTTTTTTTTTTGGTACCAGGGATTGAATTCAGGTCCTTGTGCTCGTGAGGCAGGTGGTGGAACCACTGAGCTAAATCCCCGGCCCTGGGATACTATTTTCTAAGAATTGCTCTGTCCATTAAAGACAACCCTCTAGTAATGTCACACATTTTCCCATTTAACCTCACCTTGTACCTATGGGGATGGTGTGTTGCCATTCTTGCTTTATACATAAGGATAAAGTGCACAGCAAGCTGTAGCAGCTCATATGGGTCACCCTGCTAGGAATCTGGGTGGTGATTTGAATGCAGCCCCACTTGACTCCAAAGCTTCTATCTGTACTGTCCCGCAGTGGATTTAGCCTGGCACAGCTGCTTTAGGAAACACAGCACGGCAGCCAGAGAGCCTCTCCACTTTCAGGTGCAGCCCTTATTCTTGTGGTGAGCATCTAGCAAATCTTACTCCACAGGGCACTGCACTGAAATGATCCTCTCCAAGTACAGAGTGGCATGAAAATGGTTAGGGTCATACATGATGCTGAGGACTGTTCTTTACTTGTATCCACACAAAGCCACGCAGACACTGAGGTGTTCCTCTCGGTAATTGAAGTGCAGTCTCTCTTCACACACTTGAATGTTGGGTCCTTCACCAATGTAAAATTAATGCCTTTTATATTCTGTTTCAGGCTGTGATCCTACACAGAACTTGAGAGTCACTCTGAAGGTCAATAATGCTTTAATAAAAATACATGATATACGTTAACCTGATGCTTATTATAGCCACAGCTTGCACAGCTGTAACTTTCTATCAAGTAGAGCAGTGCGCTGACCATCAAAAAATGAGTATTTTTTTTAAAAAGGAAATTATATGTTCTCATTTCAGCCACCAAAAGTGGAAAGTATAAAGACCATTTTGATGGGGAACAGTGCTAGCTCTTACCATGATCCCAATTTCTTGAGTGACCCTGTAATTCAGGGAAAGTTAATAAAATGAAAGCAGAGTAAAAACTTAAGTTCCATGAATGCTACCACATCGATTCCATACCATCACCTTCTGATTTGTTTTTCATGTATAACATGGTACATGCATGTGTCTAGCCATGCAGCGTACATGTACCTGCACCAGGTGAAATGACTGAAACAATTACACAACTCATTCAAAGTTGACATTTTATCCTTGCCTCCACTACCTAATACCTGTTTAAATTATGGCTCAAAAATGTAATGACATCATTTCTGTTTAGCACTATGTGATTAGCTGAGTGACTATTTTATCTTTTAAAGTAATTACTTTTCATATGTAACTCCACAGAGGCAAATCTCGCACATATTTCTAAATCCATTTTCACCACTTTAGGTCTAACTGGCATTGTGTTCATTCACATTCCAGAATATTTAATGAAAGCGGCAAAGTATATGGTGTATAGTCATCAAGGAATTAACATTAATAATTAGCATTAAAAGTAGCACCATTCACTGGGAATTGAAGCGATTTAGTGTCACATTTAGTGGCTTTAACACTGACCTACATCAACTCATTTAGTCCACAATGAAACCATAAGAGAAAGGAATATTATCATTTAGTTTTAAAAACTAACAAAAAATGATTCTAAATTTTGGTAAGTGGTAGGACTTGACACCGAGGTAACTTCATGTGTTAATGTTGGGGAAATGTTCACCATTTAATGCACAGGATAACACACATGTGTAGGTGTGTGTGTGATGCATCTGCACATCTACATAGAATGACAACTTCCTGAATATGAATGTAAGGGGTTAAAAATTGTTAACAATTCAGTGGTGGTAATGAGTAATTTGTTTTCCCTTCTAGTGTTTTTTTGCGGCTGCTGAAGTTTATTAAAATGAATATGTACCATTTTGAGAATCAGAAACAAAGCATTAATAGTGTTTAAAAATTTGTTCCAGAAGTTACAGAACATGTGACAAATTACCATAAAATAAACAGAAAAAGTAAAAGGGCTATCTCAACCCAACAACAATTTAGACCTCACTATAACTTAAGAAGCAGTTAATTCCTTGGCCTGTAAAATGCCTGAGAGCAATGCTACCCAACCAGGCCTTCTGCAGAGACAGAAACACTCCGCATAGGCACTGCCAGCTTGCTGCCAGGCTGCTGCCCTGTGCTGTGTGGTGGCTGTGGACAGGAGCAGAGCTTTCAGGTTTACTTCATTACAATTAATTAAACTTAAGTAACCACATGTGGCTAGTGACTACATAACAACTCTAGACTACAGAAGGTGCAGAAGAGTCCGATGGTTCTTATGAAGCCAGAATATCCATCTCCTGACAGGATAGAAACGTAAACTATGGTCACACTGAATGTTAAAATGCTAAGGCGAAAAATGAGTAATGTAACAAATATAATCCAAGACAAGCCAAAGGACTAGGATGTACTTGGAATTTAGGATCGCTCAGTATTGGGAAACCCATAGAGTCCATTCTTTTTAATAGCCCAAACACAATACTTAGCATAGAGCTATTCAACCGGAATTTGTTTGCATTAAACATCCATTTTTAATTAAAAACTCTCACTAATAAGTTGACATTTCTGATACTATATTTTTAGAACAGGTATATGTAACTTAATCTAGACAACTACATGGGGAAATAGTAAAATGAAAAATCTCACTAGCTGGAGGATGTTCCCACAAATAGTATATGAAAAGAAATGTTTTCAATATATTATTTTAGATCTGTTCTGGGAGTCTCTTAGGAAAGCTAATGCATTCTGGAAGATAGTATGCAAAAAACCCTATAATAGCAGCATAATAGATACCTGAAAATAAACAGATGAATGTGCAAGATTAGTAAGAATATCTTAAAATGCTTTTGGATACAAGAAAGAGTTGAGTAAGTTATACTTGGATAGGAAAACTAAACATAAAGTTATACATTTTAATTTGTTCTACAAATTTGAAATGGATATAGTGATTCTAAATTCATATGAAGATAAAACATTAAAATAAGGAAAAAATAAAAATGTAGAAAAATACAAATACAGAAAAAATACAGAAAAGTAAAAATACAGAAAAAAATAAAGCATGCAAAGCTAAGAGACATAATTCTAGAGTCCTCAGAACTATATGATACTGGAGTATGATGGGACAGATTAATGGTACGGTTCAGAGAGCACAGAAATAGAATGAGTGTTTAATATATGCTAAATAAGGATATTTCATTTGAGAGGACAAAAGATTAATTATTCAGTGAATACCAGTTTCGAAAATGGTAGGCCATCTGAAAAAAGAAGTGTTAGTTCCACACTTTACTCTTTCTACTAAAATAAGCACTCTAAAAGTTCATGATAAAAATGAAATTAAAAACACAGTAGATGAAAATACTACGAGAGAATTTCTCATTAGTGCGGGCCTGTAGATGATCTTATGCAATACATGGGAGCTATACAAAAAGATTGATAAACTTAGTTATATAAAAGCCAAAAATATCTGTCTGGCAAAAAGCAACATAAATAAAATCAAAGACAATGATAAGCTAGGGGAGAAAACTGAATCCAGTATCACGAAGACGGATTCATTTCCTTGCTTGTAAAGACCTTCTGTACATTAATAAGAAAATGACCAAGGGGCCAGGGATTTGGCTCAGTGGTTCCGCCACCTGCTTCTCAAGTGCAAGGACCCGAGTTCCATCCCTGGTACCAAAAACAAAAAAACAAAACAAAACAACAAAAAACCCAAAAAAAGACAATGACCAAGAATACAGCTGAAAACTGATCAAATAATACAAGCAGACATTAAATTTTTTCTATTATACTTGAAAATGTTTAATGTTACCTGCAAGATGAAGAATGTGATGGGTTTCTTTTTTTAAAAACTTTTTGCAACGCTGAGGATTAAATTCAGGGTCTCGTGTACGACAAGTCAGTGCTTTACCACTGAGCTATATATACTCTTAGCTCCACAAAATCACACCATTTTATAAATTTATCAAATCACACTCAACAAGAAGCTCTATCTATTTTTTACACACTGTTGGTTAATGTATAAATTGGTCCAACAGTCTTTGGCAGATAATTTGCCAGGAATTATTATAGTTTAAGACACACATACCATTCTCCTAGCACATTAAATTTAGTAGTGTTTACTTTACAGATACAGTCAGTCGCACATGTGCTAAGCATCACTGTACATTTTGTTTTGAGAAAGCACGGCTTTCTACTAGAAGTAGTTAAATAAATGTGACTACAGGCAGGTAATGAGATACTATGTGGTTATTAGAAATGAGACTGGTCTGTGGGCTACTAGAAATCAAACTCCAAGATAATCTCCCAGATAAAGTGAAAAAGGAGGATACAGTTAAGTGTGCCAGCATCTTATTTAAAAAATATCTGCATACATAAATGCGTGTGACATTTTTAGCATAATCTCAACTCGCTTCCTCTGTCTCCCGTTCTTCTGTGCCCTAATTAAATAATTGTCCACAAAAGAGCAATAGGAATGCAGGCAAATCATGGCAATTTTATTACAATACTAATCCACATGAAGATATGTGTGTTTGGGAAACCTCTGAAACTGTGCAGGAAATGTGCACAACGTTTCTGCTGAGTAGAGGAATAACAGGTGGTTCTGTTTATGCCTTGCTGTTTTTCTGTAGTTTTTCCAAAGTTTAACCCAGTAACGTGTATTGTTTTTGCAATTGTTTTAAAAAGTGTTTTTTTTCAAACTTTTTGGTACTCACCTGGTTCCTGTCCCTGGCATTTGCATATCGAAACCTCTGGATATAATAAAAGACCAGCCATGCGAGGGAAATGATCATCAGGACAATGAAGGAGATGGAGACAAACACAACCGAGGTGCGGCTCACGTATTTCTGTAAGTTCCGGGTTCCGATGGTGATGTACATCGTCACGGTGATGTTCCTTTCCAGCAGGCTGACGATCTCCTTCCCTTTGGGCTCAGGAATCATGATGGCCACAATGTCTTCTACACCTGTGGCGAGAGGGACAAGGAAGGGGCAGTCGGGGAGGGGCAGGGGTGGAGGGAAATCATAGTGAAATGTCTACACTGAGGTACCGTGCAAAGCAAACGAGAACATTGCTTTTGAAAATGTCATGCTGGGCTGAGAACACCCAACAGGCAGGCGGGGAAACGTATGTTTGTTCTTCAGCTAACCGGGGAGGCTGCTGAAAGAAACCTATGTCGAATTCATAATTTGTGGCACCAGTGAGGTCATGGTCTTTTGGACCCCGCGGCATTAACCCTGACCGGAGACCTGGTAGACAGACTCTTCCTAGTCAGCCGGGTTTACAGTTCCATGCGGTATTTCACAGATCCCCAAGGAGGGCAGAAGGTAAAATGCCCAGGGTGATGCCACTGTGTGACTGCCCTGCCCCTTCCCCAACACAGACTATGAATACTCAATGACAGGTCTCTGTGTACCATCTCCAAGGCAATTTTCTCCAACAGTGAGCATTCAAGCAACCAAGACAGCTTCTTAAGAGAGTTCTCATACGATTTGCCAATATAAAATCACGGCCTCATAGCTATTCTTTGCTTCTTTTTTCCCATTCAACGGAAACAGCTGTTTCCCTCATCCCAAGCAGGGGAAAGATAGATAGAGGCAGAGAATTCCAGGATTATTTTACTCCCCCAGCTCAAACAGTACTACCACATTGCCTCTGCCGTTAGATTGTTTGAAGTAAGGGGGCCTGGGCTGTGTAAATCAGTCCCGGTGCTTCACAGCAGTGGAGGGGCAGCTCCTTGGTGAGGAGTTCTAGGATCTCTACCTGGGGGGCTTTGATAAGGAGAGGACACCAGATCCAAAGGAACTGACCCTACTGGCCACTGGGCTGATACACAGAAGACAGTATCCACTGCACTAGGTTTTCGGAGATCACCCATTGAAATCCGAGGGGAAAGCAGCAAGACGATTAGGATACACAAGCTCCATCCATATGAAGTACTCCATCACCCGAGGTGACTGCACACACGGAGTTTGTCATCAAGGCACATGAACGTGGTCTATCAGACCCACATCTGTACTTCAGAATATTTCTATTGATGAATTACTATTTTTAACTTTATGAGACTTATTATGCTAAACAGTGAGTGCTTAACAGGAAAAAAATCACAAAAATAAAGTACTGAATTTTTAGTATTTCCTGAGTGTTTATAAAAAGGCATTAAAATGTTAACAGCTTTTTTTGGTGTATAGTCTAAAAAGGAATATCACAAAGGAATTCTTATATGAACTACAATGAAAATACCAATAGCACTTTACAACAGGAGGTAGACTTTACCTCAATTATCACACCTAAGGCAGCCTGCTCACCTGACCATTCCATACACACCTGCTCACCTGCACGTTCCATATACACCTACCGCTTCCACTCACAGCATGTGGTTTGCTTTCCTGGCCTTTTTGTAGGACACCCTTGACATCTCACTGGTTTTGCTGTTTTGTTAGGAGCTTATTATGTTATACATTGTGTAGTTAACCAGAACATAAAATATCTATAAAGAATGAAATTCTTAATATGTATTGTGCACTTAGAATAGATACCAACATCTTCACATCAGCTGTTCACAAAACCAAAGAGGTAACATCAGAAATAAAAACCTAAGTGAACTACAATGCAAACACCAACAAATGTCTACCACAGAGATAACCTTTGCTTCAACTGTCACACCCAAGGCTGTCTTCATACATGACAACTGCGTGTTCCCTGTACAATTATCGCTTATATATGGATAGCATGTATGTTTTTCTGTCCTTTCTTGTAGGGCACAGTTGACATCTTTTTGGTTTTCCTATTGTCATCGTAGGTCTTTGTGATGCTGCACCTGCCTGTTCACCTGTCAGCTCACCAGTGTGCTCCATGATTTTTTTGGTAGAAACATTTTGTTTTTTCCCTGCTGTAAATGATCTCTTACAAGTTCCAGTCCCAATTCTCTAAGAAAACTTCTCCATGGCATTTTAAGCTTGTTGTTTTCTTTGTAAAGTATCACACTACTTATGCCACACATGTTTAGGATTGAGTAGAACACAACCACTGGCCAGTGCTTTGTGTTTCGAGTGACATCATAGTGGTTGCATGACTGATTAACATCTACTTTGCCTTTAGTTTTGCTGTAGAAAGTTTCCCTCTCAGGCTTCCGTTTTGTTGAGGTTTCCCTAGCAATATTTCCATCACAGTGCATTGTTGACTTCAGCAGTACCAGTTTGTTCTTTGCTATGTTTGAGGCTGATGTAAATCTTTCTGAATGCCAAAGACTGTATGATACAATTCTCTGTTTTGAAATTGCAACATTTCATTTGTAATTTCTGCTTTGTTCCTCTGTACAGTTCCTATGCTGGTGAACTTGTGCTCTGTTAGCAAATGTAACCTCGATTGGAACCTGGTAAACCAATCATCAAGTGTCACATTCTAATTAGTTTGGGAGATAGAAGCAACAAATAAGTCCGTGAACAACATCATTTGGTTTATTACTAAATGAATAAGGACCTGATAGTTGAGTTCCAGGATAAATGTCTAAATTGAAAGCATAATATCTAAAAGGGTATACACACTTATGCCATATTTTGACCCATCACTTTTCCATAACTCTTTTATGTTCCTTGCGATTACCATGCGAAATCCCAGCTAAGTAGAGCAGTTCAGCTAGTGAGGTGTCATAGTAAACACATTTAAACAATATGGTAATTGGTACAAAGTTTTACTTGCATTCAGCTTTGGTGCGTCTCACAGCATCTTGTAGCATTTCATGTTACAATGCCCAACACTGAGTGTCAGGGCTGGCATTCTGTCCAATCTGTTTCACCCCTGCCAAGACCCTCACTGTATTTTCGGACCTAGTTCTAACACTGGATCATTCCATTTGGTTGGGTGGCCATTTTGCAACAGTTTGGCTAGTCAAATAGGTAATCACATTGCATTTTTCTCTGTCATCTGAATCAAGGAGGTCTGCATTCCCTGTGTCTGTATCAGTCCATTCTTGCTCCATTTCCCTATCACAGGAACTTTAGTCCACATGGCCAATGTCAAAGTCATCATCATCATCCACCCACACCACTCTTCTATTATGAAAACACGTATTTTACCATAATGGATCATCTTCATTATCCATAGATGAGTAATCTGACGACTCACTTTTGACCTCCAAAACTTGCAAATCTGTTTTGTGTGTGTGTGTGTGTGTGTGTGTATACCATTGTACTGAACTGAGTTACTTCTACCAGAAAAAAAATCAAAAGAAAATTTTAATATTCACCATTCCTGGAGTGGTGTGGGTATACTGAACCCTCCGTGAGGCTTGGGCAAACACAGGCAAAACCATTAGACAGAGCATAATGTGGGTAAAAATCCCATTTGTCACTTTTGCACACCTGTACACACCTTGCTGTTTGTCATACTAAGTGGATAAACACAGAGTATGATTCCTGTATCCTTCAGGGAAAGGATCTGAGATACACAGCTGGCTATTATTACGCTAAAGTACAAAGCTACTGCAGAAAAATAAGGGATGGGTCTGCTGGACCCATTATCATGCTCGGTAGATCAAGGAGAAGCCAAAATTTGCAATTTGGATGTTGCAGATTCTGGACAAAATGAAACCCCACAGTAGCTAAAGTTGGCCACATCCACCTGCTGTGGTTATTCAGCTAAAAGGAACTAAGTCACATTTGCTCAAGGTGTTGCAAAGTGCTTAGAAACTTCGAGCTTTCCTTTCACCTTGGTCTCCATGCAGATTTCCAATGCTGTGTTCCTTGATGGCATTTCACTCAGACTGAATGCTTTAAAAGCTAATCATATCAGAATGACTTTCAAGTATCTGTCACTGTGACATATTTTTATATCATTAAAAAAACAATGACACACAGAGGTATCTCTGTATGATACATCAAAAATATATTTAAAAAATTCCTACACACTTTGCACTAATCCAACTGGAAAATCATAAAGCACAAAGTGTTGGTGTTTGGCCGTTGTTCCTGAGAATTACTGAAACCGGCGGCTTGAATTCCAACTCTGCAGAATTTACTGTCAATTCTGCTGCCCCTTCTCCTTGCCTGTTTACTTTGGCTAATGGCTGCGTGTAGACTGGGGTTTTGCGACGGATTAGGGCTGCTGGCAGGTTTCCCTTCTCCAGAAACATGATCTTTATATACTGGACTAAGCAGGCCTGGGGAGGTTTGTCCTGGTGCTGCGGCTATTTTAGAAATATTTAAATAATGGTGGGTTCGTAATTTTTCATTTAATTAATTTCCTTATGTATATTTTTTAGGTATATTTATTTAAGGCTTTAGAATTCAAAGTTCTTTTGAGGATGGGGTCTTGGAGTTAAGAGCAAGCCTTTGTATGCTCAGCCAAGCACAACTTTTACAGTGTTTAGTCAAGTTTCACTAATACAGATTGTAATAGCTTCTAGTTATGATACTCGGCTAAGAGAGTTCATCTCCGCCCCAAGTTACAGAAATACTCATTTCAATATCTTTTTGAAAAACCAAATGTGATTCAATAACAACACAATATTTATTGAGTTCTTATAGGCAGAAAGGAGGGAGATCAAGGTTTGATTTTCTCCCCTTAATTCCAAGTTATATTTAGGTCTACTTTGTATTATGCTTCCCCCATTCTCCGTGAATTTACCTTTTTCTCAACCTGTACCAGGCTTTTAATTGTGTAGTTTTCAACCTATTTCTTATCTGGTAGCCTAAATGGCCTTTCACTACTCCTTCACTCCACCCTACAATTTTCCTCTTATGTACTTATACATAAGAGACCACAGAGTCCCAACAGTTATGACTTGGTCCCTGGGCAGCTTGTTTTAAACCCCAGTTCAGCACTGTAAAAATAGGCAACCACATTTTGGATCTCCACAAACTTTGACTTACTCATTATCTGTTTTCAGGGACCTGAGCAAACACTGTCTCTTCCTTTAGGGCAAAGTATAATTAACCATTTTAAAGCATTTATTTTGAACCGAGA